AACTAAGCAGCAACACATTGAAAAAGTGTGATATTATATAGGTTATTTCACACTCATATTCGTCTACTTCTTTATACAATGGAAGAGGGACTTCCTCATATCTCTTTTTGGGGTGAGTCAAAATGTGTTTGCTGCTTGAAAAGTCCAGAAGAAATGCCAGGAGCAGGACAGGGGTGTGTACGCAACGTCTGTCAGTCTAACGAAAACCTCTGACGTAGTCAGGCTTGTGGAAATTGATGGCAAAATTTGGCTGCCCGGAGAAGTTCATCAGTATTGTATACCAGTTTCATGACAGCATGCTTACCCAGGTTCTGGATGATGCTCTTGTGCTTTCCCAGTCACCAATGGAGTGAAGTACAGCTGCATGCTTGCTCCCCTGCTTTTCAGCATGATGTTTTCTGTGATGTTATCAGACGCCTTCAATGAGGACAAAAATGGCATCAGTGTCAGCTACCATACTGACGGTAAATTATTTTGAAAAGGCTACATATCATGATCAAAGTGGAGGTAGAAATGGTGCATGATGTTCTGCTTCCAGATGATAGTACACTCAGTGAAGTCTCTGAGGCTGAGATACAAAAAAAAAAAAATATTGCCTGATTCTTTGCTGCTTGAGCTAACTTTGGCCTAACAATCAACACCACGAAAACACAGGTGTTCTACCAGCCAGCACCACATATACCCATTGGTTAAAGCAAATGGAGAAATTTGGAATGCAGTGGATAAGGTCACTTTCTTTGGCAGTATATGTTTCAGGGATGACCATATAGATGACGACGTTGATGCACACATTGCCAGAGCTAGCTCAGTGTTTGGGAGGCTACAAAGGAAAGTGTCAGAGAGAAGAGGTACTAGACTGCCTACCAAACTGAAGGTCTACAGAGCCACTGTGCTGACCTCATTGTTGTCTGCCTGTGAAACCTGGACAGTATACCAGTGCCATGCCAGGAAACAACTGAATTGCTTCCATCTGAATTGTCTTAGGAAGATTCTGAAGATCACCTGGCAACAGCTATCGGACATTGAGGTACTTTCTTGAGCTGAACTGCCAAGCATTCAAACTCTACTGCAGAAAGCACTACTCCAATGGGCTGGCCATGTTGTTCAAATGCTAAAAGTGTGTTTGCCTAAAAGACTATTTTATGGGGAGCTTACACAAGGCAAGGGCTCACATGGAGATCAGAAGAAACAATACAAGGACACTTTCAAAGTCTCTCTGAAGAATTTTGAAATTGATTGTGAGACATGGAAGACATAGGCACTGGACCACCCAGCATGGTGTGCCCACATCAAAGAAGGTGCTGTACTTTATGAACAAAGCAGAATTGCAGTATCTCAGAAGAAATGTGAGATGCGCAAATTTAGAGACATCTCCACTCTAAACGTTCATATGGACTATTTTTCTAAGCTCATGTTGGTCTGATCAACCACAATCGGGCACACCATACTTCAATTACAAAATAATGATTTCATTTTGGTCCTTTTCGAGAATGAAGGACAACAGCGAACCTTCCCTGTTACTGTAGAGGGCAACATCATTCTTCCAGTCCCACAGACTCACAACCTAGGAGTCATCTCTCACTCACCCATATCCAACTGATTGTATCTTTGCAACCTGTCTTGGATACACTTCCTTCTTTCCCCTGACACTGCCACTACTCTATTAAAGGCCCTCATCACCTCACTCCTTGATTACTGCAATATCCTGCTGGTGGGTCTAGCCTCCTCAAGTCTCTACTCCAATCCATTCTCCATTCAGCCACTAACTTCATTTTTCTAAAGCACAGGTCTAATCATGTCATACACACCCATGCCCCTATGCAATAAATTTCAACCACTCCCTTTTGCCTCAAGGAGCAAATACCAAATGCTCTGTTTGGTCTTCAAAGTCCTTCATAACTTATCCTCATCCCACCCCATCTTTTCAATCTTCTTATACTTTACTCCCTGAAATGTATTCTTTGATTCAGTAACATTGGCCTCCTGGCTGTTCTAGGAACAAGACACTCCATCTTTTCAGCTCTGGGCATTTTCTCTGGCTATCTCCCATACCTGGAACACTCCCTTTTCCACTCTACTACTACTAACAACTAACTGCAACTGCTAACCTCTCTGGCTTTCCTCAAGATCCACCTTCTTCAGGAAGCTTCCCCCAACTCCTCTTTTTTAATTTTTTTTAAATTTTTTTAGTTAGGCAATGGGGTTAAGTGACTTGCCCAGGGTCACACAGCTGGTAAGTGTTATGTGTCTGAGGCCAGATTTGAACTCAAGTCCGCCTGAATCCAGGCCCGGTGCTTTAGCCACTGTGCCACCTAGCTGCCTCCCCCAACTCCTCTTAATTCCAATGCTTTCTATCTTTTAATTATTTCCTATTTGTCCTATTGCTATCATGTAGATAGCTTGCTTTGTATATATTGGTTTGCATGTTGTCTCCCCCATTAGATTGCAAGCTCCTTGAGGGCAAAGACTATCTTTTGCCTCCTATACTTAGCACAGTGCCTAGCATACAGTAGGTGCTTCATGTTTCTGTAAACATGTAAACATGTTTCTGTAAACATCTTCAATGTTTACCAATTAATTGCAATCCCTTTGTTTTGGACACAAGGGCTCAGGTTGTATAAAAGTGTTCAGAGACATACTTCCTTGTTCTGGTCCACCATGTGGGAGCTCTAGGCCTGGCTTCTAGCCAAATTATGCATCAATGCTGCGGTCCTTACAGTATAAGATAACAAGAAGTAACCTAAGTGGCTAGTGAGCCAGAGGAACTGCTGACTCACAGGACATAAGAGAGGCACTGATCCAGCCCTCTGCAGTGTTCAAGTCCTGCTCTGGAGCATGTTGACTCCTGGGCCTTATCTTACGTTTGGCCTATGTCAGATCACAAATACATGTTTTAAATAAGCTAGCTTTCACCTGGGCCCCTGACTGGCTTTGTTTCTTTGTTTTTGTTTTTTCCCCCGATATGAGGAGGTTGAATGTGCTGTGGTGGACATGTCCCAGGATCAGAGATGACTTTGTGAGGTTGAGATCTGGAAGTTCCTTATAGGTTGGAACTGAATGGGGAAAAGTGGAAAGTCCACTGGAAACTATTCCAGCCCTCTTGGAAAAGATGACCACTGAGAAGATAATTTGCCTAAGACTATCCATTTAATTGGAAGAGATATTTGAATAGTCAAAATGATATCTAAAATGTCTGACAATTTAGCAAAATTGCTTTATATTATGATGAGGTTTAAATATTATCCACCTACCAGATAGTAAGAATTGTCATAAACGAAAGGCCTTGAGTTCATTGAGCTGGGTCACCTGGAGCTCGGGTACTGTGGCACTGCCTGTTCTAAACCTACCTATGTGGTGTGGACCTGATTCAATCATGTGGGAGCCTGCCTCTAACTAAGGCTCCTTATCCCTCACCCCTGGGAATAATTGAATTTATGGTTCACGGCTAAGGTCATCTTAGAAGGTATGCACAATACAAACTTTGGATGAAATAGGTAACTTATTCCTATACACAAAAGAAATACTAAATAGAAAAAGAATCATAATCATGCATTTAGCCTTAATGAACAGGATTCAGTAACTTAACTTTGTAACTTTCAGTTAAAAACATCTGAACAGGAAATCAATGAAAAGTATATAGATTTACTTACCACCCTATATACCACTCAGGGTAAATGACTACAATATGTTCTAGAGTTATGATGAGTTCAAGTCTAATAAGAGAGTTGTAGCCCTATATCCCTTGTTCAGGGATAACAATGGTTGGACTAGGTACTGAGGCAGAGGTCTAGATTTCCTCAGTGGTCCTCATTTATCTAGGCCTTGGAAAGTATTTTGTAGTCTTCTCAGAATCTAGTAGCTGCACGGAACAAAACGAGTTGTACTTTCAACTTGGCAGGCTATTACCCTTACCCGGTCCTTAGGGAAGGAACGAAGGAGTTTTCTCAGACAGTTTGGTGACAGGTGACAGAACATGCCTCCACATGCAGAAGTAGGTTCTAGGATGAGGAGGCTTCGAAAACCAATTCCTTGCTCTAGTGATGGTGGAGAGAGGAAAAAGTTGTGGGTTACAGCATCGATGTTTAGTGGCAATAGAAGGTTGAAGCATTGTTTTCTTACTGCTTTGGTGACACAGAAGACAGATTCAGGGAACTAGGTTCTGTCTCAAGGAGAATCACAGTCTCCAAGACAGACCGGTGGTAGGGTGCCTCCCTCACTGGGAAAATTCCAAGGAAGCAGAGCCCATTACCTGCTGAGGCACACCTCTCCTCTTTTGGACGACTCTCATTGTTAGCAAAATGTTTCCAACCATGAGCCTACATTTGTCCCTCTGCAATTTTAGTTTGTTGCTGCTAGTTCTGCCCTCTTGGACAAAATGTTCCATAGTTTGATGATACCTAAAAGCCCTTTCATCTCTGACACTCTGTGACTTTATTACAATGATAATTTACTTTCAGGCACCATTTTTTTTTTTACTTACAGAGTACATTACACACAATAGCTTTTTTGACTCATGTTAGGGATCTGTAGGATGTTGAGGACCACAGGCCGTTCATGAGACTTCACTGATGGGCGAAGGCCCCTCTCGGGTGTTAGTACATGAGCAGAATATCCTGGCTTGGTTCTCTGTCCGTGGACTTTGCACCTCCCAGTCAGCAAAACTGTGACACTAGGCGAGCTCAAACTATAAAACAATGTTGCTAGCTCAAGCACAGTCAGCTCTAGCACAAAGATATATCCAGTATTGCTAGTTCATGTATCAAGTACTGGGAACATTCCAGGAACGAGAAGTACATGGTGTTTTTATGGGAACAGCAAGGGAGAAGGACACAGTCAGGATAACGTTGCAAAGAAATGTACTTGTTGATACTTTGATTGGTATTTGCGTGAGAAAAATTCTCAGTGTTGCCTACTAATTACCCAGAAATTATGTCTCTCAACATTTTTAAACATCACAGTATATGAAGACTGTAAGTAAAAAAAAGGTAGAAAGCACAAAACACAGCAAAGTCACAAAGTGGAACTTACCTGAGTAAAGATATGTAAACTTTGTCGCTTTGTTCACTGTTACATTGGAGTAAGTTCCTATGAGTCAAAGATATAAAACGCTGAAGGCAGGACCAGCGGGAGGGTACTTACTTACTTGAGCTAACGGCTGAATAAACCATTTGAAACTACACCTCTCTGTCGACTCCACTCCTTCTCGTTAGACGTTAGACGGGTTTGCCCGAAGACTGCAGGTGAGTATGCCCCAGGCAGCCCTCCTCAAATAACGAGGACGTTACAGGCTCACACAATGACACTATGAAAACAATTCAGATTGTTCCTCCACATAGGTGAATAATAAGTGCGTTTATCACTAGTCAGCATGACTATTAAATTAACATAGGAAGCTCCCAGAGTTGTACTTTCTCCTTCTGAGGCCACCACTCAGGTAAGTTCCACTTTGTGACTTTGCTGTGTTTTGTGCTTTCTACATTTTTTTTTACTTACAGTCTTCATATACCGTGATGTTTAAAAATGTTGAGAGACACAATTTCTGGGTAATTAGTCATTTTATTACTAATACCAGCATTTTAATAAAAAGAAGTCAATGGCACTCTTGAATACCCAAGACAATCGTGGTGGTGGCCTCATGGCTTATATGCTCTGAAGGAAAAGGTGTTCCTCAGGGTGGCAATCAATTCTGATTAATAATGAATGAGAGAATGAATATTAGAATGAGGGGCTGGACTTATTCTAATGAACTTCGATTAAGTTATTTACTTCTAAATTAGCCACCTCCTCCCCGCCTTGGGCAATCTATTCAAAGAATTTATCCCTATTCATCTCTATCCAAACCTGAGTAGAGTACAATGACTTCCCCACCTAGGTGGGGTCTGAACAAGATTGGTTTTTTTTGTTTTGTTTTTTTTAGGTAATTGGGGTTAAGTGGCTTGCCCAGGATCACACAGCTAGTAAGTGTCAAGTGTTTGGTCTGAGGCCACATTTGAACTCAGGTCCTCCTGACTTCAGGGCCTGTGCTCTATCCACTGCCCCACCTAGCGGCCCCTCTGAACAAGATTGTTAAGAAAATTAATGCAATCTCATTATCAGCAATGTACTTCAAATGACTGAACTTTTGAAATGAGGACTACAGAAATCATTGATTAATAATAATTTCTCTCAACATAATACTTTATAGACAATATACTATTTATTTATTTTATATACAACTGTACTTTATGTACAATAGCTTATTTGACTCACATAACTTTATGAAATAAGTAGCATAAATACATTATCCTAGGTTTACAGTTATGGAAATCAAGGCAAAGAGAAGTTGTGACTTATCCAAGGTTATATGACTAGTAAGAAGCAGAGTTGATGCTTTAACACCAAGTTTAGTACTGTTTCTATTATACTACATGGCCGCCTCATGTCCAAAACATCATGTCTTCTTCCCAAAGAAGGGGACAAGAATTTAAGTACCTTCTGTACTCTCTCCTCTCATAGAGGGAGAAGGAAAGAGCTATATTTTCATAAACTTTCTTCTGTAAATAATTTATTTAATGCCCTTAAGCAATTTCTGTGACTTTCTTCAATTCAGGAGGAAATGGATTCCACATTGTACCCTGCACAGTGTTTAATCCTGGCTCTCAAGTCCAAAAAAGGGGCGTGACCACTGTGTTCCAGAGGGCAGTGGCAGAAGCAGAGACAGCACCACAATAGTGTGTGTTTGGGCCCTTAGATCCCATCAGTTATGCTTTGAGAATCTGTACAGAGTTATTTACTGGGCTCTGTTCAGCAGGAAATGAGACTTTGAGTAGTGAATGACCTTGGCCACCCTCCCCTCTGGCAAGATGGAAGTGTAAGTTTAGCAAGAAGAGGTGGAGTCTGTGTTGGGGGTGGAGGGAAGAGAGGGTAGGAATCCACACCCTCCTTAAAAATGTGGTTTATAGGACATATTTCAAATGGCCATGATCAAGAGAATCTTCCTTTACTGTAGATTAGACACATGGAAAATTTCAAGTGTAGTTATTTGTTTTTCATTTTTACATACAGTTGCTCAAAGATGAATGATATGCTGTTCTCATTTTCCAAGGCCAAATTATCTTTGGGCTGTGATCAAGCATAAGAAATTTCCACCCCTGGGATAATTCTTTTGAAGATTACACAAGCAATGGAAGTTCATAGGTAACAACATGTTTTATTAATATAAACAGGCTAGAATTTTTAGTATTTCTTACAGAATGCACTTTGTAAAATGGTTAAAAGCCAAAGAGGCAAAATTTGTAGAATGGCTCATTTCACAGAATTTTAAGCCTGAAGGATGGGGGCTATCCTCTATAGTTAGTACAGCATTTTCATTTTACTTTCTAAAATTATTGATATACTTTAGTTTTCATCACTTTCATTTCCTATTATTCCTTAAAATATTTCCTCCCTCTCCTACCCAGAGAGCCCCATCCTGTAAAAAATCATAAAAGAAAACGGGCCAGGTGAGAGCAGTAAAGAACAAACTCTGTTTATTGATCTGAGGGCTCAGGCTTATATAGTACTGGATCAAGCAATAGTAACATTATTATTCATGAAAAGTACAAATCTAATTAAGTGATTTCCTGACTTCCTTGTACCTTGTCTGTTACATTCTTTCCTGCGTCCTCTCCTGTACCCCATCCGTTTCCTCCCTTCCTGCATCCTATTCTCAAGAGACAGAACAGGGGGTTGGTGAGCCGACATCCTGAGTTTCACAGCTGTCAGGCTTAGTACAACCTACAGGTAAGACCCGGGCTGGCCTAAGCCCTCCAACTCCCCAAAGCCGGCCCTCTACACCCAACCAGTGGTCAAATATTTTGCTTCCAATTCAATGTTACTATACAAAAAGGTTTACTATAAATATGTTTGGTCTATATGAGACTTAACGTTGAAACTTAAACTGGAACACAAAGTAGCTTGTGGAACTACTACTCTAGAAATATCTTCTCTTCCTTGCCGGTAACCTTGTCCAGCTCTTTCTCTAGAATCCCACTATCTAGAACTTTACAAATTGGAAAATTCCCGCTTTTGAACTAATTGGCGATTCCCTGACTGCATTATAAATGGGAAACTAATTGAATGTGCTGGAATGAGACTCTTCCCTGTACCCCCTCTCATCTCCTTAGGGGAGAAAACTGGCCCTCTTACATATTAGTGAGGGATCTTGTGTGAAATGAATGAATTTAAGATTATTTACTAATTATTTATTACAAACAAAACAACTTATTAAGCACCAAAAATACAATTAGAAAAGCAAGACAGATCTTGTCCTCAGGACCTCACATTCTAGAAGGAAAGAAAACACATATAGAAAATCAGATGGAAGGCATTGTAGTCCTTTGGGTATAGATGGTAATGGATCTTCTTTAATATCATTTCCAGTAATAAAATCATATTTTCTAACGTAGAGCCATTTGGCAACACTGGATTTTGGTGGTGAGAAGTGTCTATTCCCAAGCTTCTGTAGCTGTTGCTTCTGAGGAGGTCACATGTCTACAAAGATTGCTTCCTTGGAGCATGGCTTCAGGAATCAGGTGGGAAGCAGGCACAGAGGCAGTCAATAAACACTTATTAAGCACCTACTATGTGCCAGGCACTGTGCTATACACTGGGAAAACAAAGAAAGGCAAAAGACAGTCCTTGTCTTTAAGGAACTCACAGTCTAATGGGGGAGACAAAATGCAAACAACTATGTAGAAGCAAGCTATAGAAGGGATAAATTGGAAATAATCAGCAGAGGGAAGGCACTAGAAAGAAGGTCATCTAAGGGAGCTGCTGTTCCCAGGATTCTTATCTTACCGGCCCCTCCAATGCAACCTTCTCATCATAGCATTAAGAAAACTGAAGCCCAAAGAAGTTGTGCAAAGTCAAATGACAGTGGTATCTGGGGTGCTACTCTTTCAAAGGTTCTTAGGCTTATCTGTCCAGTAGCAGGTGGTCAGTGATGGATATCAGTGGTGGCAGGGAGGTTTTCCCTTTAATTATGGCTGCAAGAACTAGAAGCAGGGCTAGCGGTCTGAAGGTATTCCCATTCACAGGACTTCAAGCACCTGCAGAGATAGTTAGCATCTTTCCAATGCTTGCATGCTTGCATGAATGATAGCTTCAGGGGCTAGGTTAGAAGCAGAATCAGTGGTAGGAAGGGTACTACTTGTCCTAGGTTCTTTGGTTGCCTCCACAAAGGTCAAAGGGGAGTTGGTCATTAAGGTGGTTTGACCTGTCAAGCACATGCCACCTCCTGTCTCTCCCTCACAATGTCTTATTGCTTTGGCTAAAATGGTTTGCCTGACCTTGGTGTTGGTGGTAGAGAGGATGGCGGACCCTTTCTTTACAAGAGTTGCTTCTCTCAATAATGACTTCATAGGCTGGGTTAGAAACAGGGTCAGTGACCTGGGGGTCTCTGCTTTTCCTGAGGGTCTCAGGCTTACCTAAGCGTAGTGGTTCATGGTTGGTGTTGGTTGTGTTCTGGATAATTGTTCCCTTCTTCAGAATACTTCTTTCTAAAATTATGGAACCCAGATCTACAGGGAGCCAAGAGGCATGATGAGAGTTTGGGGGGGGTCACTGAATACACTTCCTTATTACTGTCTTAACCCACTCATCTTTGGAACTCCCATCCTGGTGGTCATGTCATGTTGACTGGTAAATGAGTGCAAACTCACATCTTTGGCTATATCTAGTAAGCACTAAACATGCTTCACATTGTAATCTGGCCATCTTGTTGATATTCACCCTGTCTCACTGCAATCTTTAGTTTGCCAGAGACCCTGTCCTGGGGGTCAACTTCTTTCTGCCATAATCCCTGCCACCACATAAGTACAACACGACTTCTCCACTTTCCTTCCATTGTTTCCTATGGAAATCATAATCAAATCAATAGTTCTATTTCTAAGGGAAAAAGGCATTTCATTCAATTCCCCTATGACTCCACTCACCATTCCTGTCACTTCTTAAACTCAACACAACATTCCATAAGTCATCTGAGCAGGGTAGAATACAATAGGACTGTAACTGCCTTGATCCTGGACATGGCATGTCATAATGAAGCCTAAGACTGCATTAGCTTTTTTTGGCTGCCACATCACACTGAACACTCATATTGATATTGCAAGCCACTAAAACCACCAAATATTTTCTTTTTTCTGAACTGCTCTCTAATCACACCTCTCCCATCTTGTGCTTATAAATCTGACTTTTTCAAACTCAAGTGGAGAACTTGTATTTATCCCTATTCAGTTCAATTATATCATATTTGGACTATTGTTCTAGCCAGTCAAAATATTTTTAAATTCTTACTGTTATCCAACATGTTAACTATTCCTCCCAGCTTTATATCATCTGCAAATTGGATAAGCCTGGCACCTATGGCTGTCATATTGCTGTGAATTAAAGGGTTTGTATGCATGTGCATGCAGTCTAAGTTATGAAAGTATGCATTTTCAGAACACAGGAAGAAATACTGGACTGAAGAGATCATAATTTGGTTTTATAACCCTTCAGCTCTATCAACTATTACCACTTTACCTTGTTGAAAGAAAAAAAAATGAGTTCAGTGCTGCAGGGTTAGAAAAATGTGTGTCCAACAGCATCTCAGTTTGCAACTTCAGCACCATGTTTTGGTAGCAAGTCAATTATTTCCAGTTCAAGGGCAACAATCTGCCCACAGTCCAGTACTGTACAATACAGTAACCATAATACCCAGTATCCATCTTCCTTTTCAGAGAACAATAATGAATGAGAACTCAGATTCTGTCATGTTCATATTTCCCAGTTATTTTAGTTAATCTGTTAAGATAACCACAAGTAGTTTGTGCATTGGTTTATGGTGTTGATATGAGTTTGTTTCAAGTGTATCAAAATAATTCTTAGGTGACTTTTATTAAAAATACGTTTTTTCTTGATAATTGGTGATATAAAACAAAGAAGTAAAGACTGAGCCAGAGATGAATATATGTACACTTAGGATATAACACACAATTATATCCTCCATACAACTTTTACATATCTCGTATTTTAAAACAAAAATTAATGCATTTTGCTTCCATGGTGTTTAAAGTAAGATGTTAATATAACATAACTATGGGATGCTCAATTTAACAAACATTGAGTAATGAATGCAAGGCACTGTGTTAGGTACTGGGGATTAAAGAAAAACTGCATGTTTAAAATGTTTTAATGGATTTATATTAAAGTATTACTAACTCTCTCTCCCTTAATCATTCCCCACCCCCACCCCCAATAGAGGGAGAAAAAGAGGGACAGAGACAGAGACAGAAAGAACCATGCAAACCTGTTTAAGAAATAAGCATCATGAAACAAAATGTCTCCACATGATGACCCTGTCCAAAAATGCACCATTTCTTTCTGCACCTTGAGTCAATCACTCCTCTGTGAATGGGTGGGTAAAATGCTTCACTTTAGTGCTTCTGGGTACATGGTTCAAGTCACTGCATTGATCAGGGCCCTTAGTATTTCAAAACTGTTCTTCTTTACCATGACGTCGAGATCATATAAATTGTTCTCCTGGTTCTGCTTACTTCATTCTACACCAGTTCATGCTACCCAGGATTCCCTAAAAATATTTCTTTGGCATTTCTCATGGCAAAACAAATTTCATCACCTTCACATGCCACAATTAGTTCTACCATTCCCCAACTGACCAGAGACCCCCTAGGATTCCACTTTTTTGCTTTCCTTTTTATGTTGTTTTCCTTTTAAAACCTGTTTGAGGATCAACAATTTTGTTCTAATTATGATTATGAACTTCCCAATATTATCTACCCTCTTCACATTTCATCCCAGCCCTGCTTGATTCCTTGTTCAGTTTGATGTATTTCTACATCCAATTCTTTCTCTGTTTTCATGTAGCTCTGTGTGTTCAACTGTCCTTTGTCCAATTTCAATGAAAGTGAAGTTCATTTGATACCTTCTCCCCTCACTTCTTCTTCAGTGCCTGTATACTCTTTACATATCATAATTATGAGAAAAATTAGGTCCACACCCTTCTTCTTTTTATACCAGTGTAGTCATTTTTACTTTCCCTTATCTTTTGCTATTTAAGAGGTAAAATCCTCAAAACAATACCAATACACTCAGGTTTTTTTTCCTTTTTAACTCTCTCAATATCTTTGAATTCATAAATTTCAGAAGGGACTCTT